TTTTTTTTTTTTTTTTTTTTTTTGGCTGCTTGGGGCGGCCAAAACCCTGGAGCCGGCTCTGCCAAAGGCAAATGTGGAAGAAATCACACTATCTGACATAAGTAGTTCCAATCCTACTTCCTTTTCCAGAGAATGGAATAGGCATTGTAAATTGTAGGTGCCATGGGTTTTTTTTTATTACTATACTGAAAATGCAGTTTAGCTTTGAATTCTGGCCTGTCTTCTTGTCCCCTGAAATAGGATTCCAATGATTCAGATGCAGAGGGTACTGCTTGTACTGTTTGTGTCACCATTTTAATTCTAGATGAATACAGTTTGTAGGTTTTAAACTACATTTTTAGTGGTCAGAAGGAATGGGTGACAAATCAACCTCCATGCTGCTCAACTTCCACCCGATTGGTTGGAACTGAAGTCCATTGCACACAAAATCCTGCCTTTGTCATCCTGACATAAGGACTATTTAACCTGATGCTTAATAGGAAAAGGTGAAGGTTTGGGAAGCTGACACCAGATATCAGGGTATATGGGTGAGAGAGTTGTAGAAGAATAGCAATTTAAGAAAATAGTCTTTGAAGAAGAGAAAGCAAAACTAGTACACACGCTCTTATATGTGGAGAGTTCTAAGAGAAGTAAAATATATAAACACTGTAGGATCAGGCCTAGACTTAAAATGTGGATTGCTGTAGGATCATGGGGTCCAAGTCTGTTGGTTCCATCACTTTACCAGAATCATTGTATTTAGGCAATGCATGACCTGCTCAACTTCAGTATTAATTTGCTATGTGAATTGTCTCTGCAAAATGCTCCTTGTGTGTGTGTTTAGTAAGCCAACAATCCCTTCCTCTCCTACAACATATTTGAAAAGATCTAAATTCTGTTGTCTTCCTTAAGCGCACTACTTTCAGAATAGGCTGACTAAACAAACATATAAAGTGCACACTGTGTGCAAAGCAAGTTCATGTAATAACATCAATATTAATGTTGGGTAGACAGGTGTTACCTAAACACTGTGATTTTGGGGGAGGTGATGGATGGATCAAAAGATTGAAACACATTGCAAGAACAGAGGTTGAGTTTTACATAGAAAACTTAAGAGGCAAAGACACAAAAAGTGGAGTGGGCAGAAGGGAAGTAGTTGTTGCACCTGTTTAATTATGAGAACTCGCTGACTGTTGGCAGTCCATTAAAAAAACTAAAACCCCTGCAAAATGCAAAGTTCTGAATAAGAGAGACCATACTTCATTGTCCAACTTCATAACATTATCACTAATTCGTATTCAGATTAAGCACTGCATAGTTGCGGTTTAGTATATAACATGTATTGCTTTCTTATAATATGAATTCTATTAGTATTGTCCCTTCAACCATGAAAATGTTATCTAAAATTTCTTTGTTAATTCTGCTACTATAGGTACCCTGGTTTGATTATTACAATTTCAGAACAATCAGAAATCACCATTTGTGCCTACAGTTATAAAATCATTTCATGTTCCTTAACAGGCAATCAAGTTGCAAGATATAGTAATAGTATAAGTGCAGTTATTACCTCTTTGTATAAATAAGCACTGAGAACACATAAATCATAGAAAGCAAGGAACTTCCTGATAATTTGTTAACAGGGGAAATACTGCACATTTGAAGGAAAAATTAAATCAATATGAATTGTTAAGCAGAGCATTGAACATTTTTATTTATAGCATCGTTACAGGTATGCACAGTACTTTATAAAACCCACATTTTAGGCAGGCGGGGAGAACTAGGCACTTGTGTACCATAGTGATGAGCATGGTATAAAATCTCAGATAGAAAGTGTGCTAATAGCTCTTGCTCTGTATTTAGAGACCCCACATGAGCCTGTCTGCTGGTAGATTCTGCAGCCAACAGTAAAGGGATTTGTGTCCTTTAGCAAGATGGAACCTTTTTTATGGCTGCTTTTTTTTTTATTTTATTTTTTTTAGTAAGATGGATCTCTTGCATTTTAAAAATCCTCCCAGAATGTATACATACCATTGTCCTCTACACCAAGGAATGTCAGAACAGTTAAAGTATGCATGAACATGGTGCCTGTATCTACAAAGAAGATAAGTACAAATACTATACTACACCAGTATGAATATCTTAGGTTACAATGAGGATCAGGAAATGAGTTGAATTTTCATGTGTTACTAATTAATTTTTTTCTCTTTAGGTGATGCTGTAATGACATTCCCACCCCTCCCACCACCTTATTTTGCTGACTCTCTATCACCACCTGTAACTCATAAGCCACTTGCCACGGAGCTGCCTATGAGTGAAAATCCTCCTCCATACCACAGTGTTGTAAATAATGGGTAAGACAGTCTTCTTGTTTATTTTCTAGAATCTGTGATGTTTAACCCATGGGTTGAAGTGTAGCTAGGACAACACTCTCTTAATCATCATTGATTTTATGCCTGACATCTATAAAATTTTCTAGTAACTCACTGAATTTCTTCCTTCTGATATTTTACCTTAATTTTAAAATATTCTTACCTTGATTGCACCAGGATATGAGTAGAGCAAGGGACTTGGATGCCTGGGTTCTATTTTTGACTTGCTGACTTGTGTGAACTTGAACAATCCAGAGACCTCTCTCTGCTTCTGTTTCCCTGGCTGTCAAATGAGAATACTACTATTTATTTAACTACTTCAGAGGCTTTTGGGAGGCTTAATTAGGATTGTAAGTCACCTTTCATCTGAGGATCTCAGAGTATGCAGTAGTATCATTTCAGTAATTGGAGTTTTAGAACTCATACCCAGGGCCGGCTCCAGGGTTTTGGTCGCCCCAAGCAGCCAAAAAAAAAAAAAAGGCGGGAGTGAGGGACCGTCCACCGAATTGCCGCCGAATCGCTGGACCTGCCGCCCCTCTCCGGAGTGGCCGCCCCAAGCACCTGCTTGCCAAGCTGGTGCCTGGAGCTGGCCCTGCTCATAACTATTATAAGGAAGGGGAAAGTAGGGCCATGATAGATTATGAAAAGGCGGGGAAGATGGGGCAAAGGAACTAAGGAGAAGAGATGAGAAAATCTCTCCCATTCCCAAGTGGCTATTCTGCTCTATGCAGTGTTGTCAGAGGAATATAAAAAGATGTCTTTTATAGGAAATGTGAAAAGGCCACACTGTTATACAGATGGCACTGTTTACTAAACAGATGTGTATTTGCAGTGAACCTTTTTTTTTTTTTTTTTTTTTTTTTTTTTTTTAAAGGCAGCTTGAACACACCGGCTTCACCTACACTGCATGTGCATATGTGAAACTCAAGTATGATTTGGCTTAATGTATAAATGAGATTGGAATGTACTAATGTGTAATGTTTTACAGGGCACAACTTGCACATGTTCAAGGAATGGTTTCTGTTAGAGATTACGAACCACTATATGCAATTCCCGGGAGCAGTTCACCTTCAGACATCTTGCCTACTCTACACCTTTCATCTGAATTACCTCCAAGATATGAAGAAAAAGAAGCAACAGTAAATACTGAATATTCTTCTGGCTCCTCCATGGCTTAGCCTCTTCTGAGCCTTCCCACAAAGAACTGTGAACTAAAGTTCATTTTTCTATGGAATTGTACACTACAATTTTAAAGTTTTAAACTTATTTTTATAATAAAAATTGTAATGGTTGCATCTATAACCTTAAAACAACAAAACTTAAATTACCAATTTGGGTTTAGAGAAATATTATGTAACCCTAGGCTTTTTCGGACAACAGTACTCAACAGTTTGGTGAACTGCAACAGCGTTAGATGTTCATTGTGTTTTGTTATGGGTCTAGTGTCTATTTTTAGCTTTCTTTTATAACAGAGAAACTAAGTAGAACACAAACTTTTTTCTGTGTATTTTGATCTACTCAAATCAGTTAGTTTCAGAGCTATGGCAAAGAAATAATTAGAAAGTGGCTTTATAAGTATTTGTTACTGTTCTCTAGAAAGTACTTGTAGGATAAGTTTGCAAAATTACCATTTATTTACTTAGCTTAGATACAGTCTGAGCATATTAGTAATACTTCCTTTTTGTCTGCCTGCTAACAAATGCCATATAGTTTAATTTAGAACATTTATGTTCATAGTAGTAATCCCCACAAAAATCAGTTTTAGCCAGCCATTAAGATCCCCTAAAGCAAAGCTGAGGATAGTTAATGCTCTAACACTTTAACGGTGGAATGACTGTTTCCATAAGAAATACTGCTACTATAAATCAGTCTCTGATTTATACCAACAGTATCAATTTATTTTTGAGATGGGCTCTCTTGTGTGGCTGAACTGCATTTAAAAATCAGTATTTTCCAGGAGCAGAGATTTCTCATCTATAATGTATTGTATCTAGATTCTAAGATAGGAGATGTACCTTTAACTGGCCAGTTCAGAGAGCAAGCGTGTCACAGCTCTTTAAGACTCCTTTGAGATGCACAGCTCCCTCTCCTCTTATTGACTTCAAAGTACCTTGCAAGAAAGCTTAGTACCTTGCATACAGGAATTTAAGTGCTAAATCCTGCAGGACTTTTTAATTCTTAAGTCAAAACTTATGCTCCAAATTTTTTTTAAGATTAAGGCCTTATCTAAAAAGCAAGAGTCCTAGAATTTTATTTTAACTCCAGCAAGGTGGCTTTTTTAATTTAGCTACATCTCATCCATTTCCTCCTTAATTTGCACACAAATTATGTTCCTGTGATACTAGGCCCTGATTCTGCCACCTTTACACTCAGTACAACCTTGCTCTGAGAGTAGGCTCTCTGAAATCAATAGGACTGATCACAGTTTAAGGATGGCAGAATTAGGCCCCTCCATGGGGTTTTTCTTGCTGAACTCTCAACTCTTCACCCACTGAAAATGAGAGCCTAATTGTATCATACCACAGGACTCTGGATGAACTGAGTCAGAGGTATGTGATGTTAGCCATTCTTAAACAATAATATTTTCAGTAGTCCTCTTACACATCACTTGGTTTTATTTTTTCTATAAGTACTTGCTTTACAGAGGCTTACCTTAGAGCCCCAGGACCTACTCTGTCACTTCCCAAGTAGCAGTCATGCATAGTCCCATTGTTGTAAGTAGCACAAATCACATAAGTGATACTCCATGTGAATAAAGATTATAGAATCTGACCCACAATTAAGTACAGTGCTGGCTATACAAGTATAGCTCTACAAACATTGTAAATGAGTACATAGCTCTTAAATATCAGTTATCATACAGGCACAGGTAGTCCGCAAATAATATTACAAGCTCACAGGTGACGCACATATATACACAGACATTAGAGTGGTGCTGGATATGTGTCATAGTAAGTCTGTGCCCATATAAGTAGGTCAGCATGCATAAGTAACAATTCTTCTCCAAGTAGTGTCCCTATGGGTGCTCCATTCTAGGTGTGTTTGCAGCCCCTGTGCTTTTGATCAGAAATTTCATAGTGTCTGTTCGGCCCACGCATACGGATTACTCAGTCTTGTGCTCTGCATTGTTGCTATATAGTGTTGCGCAGGCAAAGCGCCCTCAGTTCCTTCTCAACTGCCTTGGCCTGAGATGGAGCCTTCACAGTTGTCTCTGTTGAATTTTACCTCAGCTGTGTCCCCTTAGCTCTTAGTGTAGTTTGTTATAGTTATTTAAAAAAAATGTTGTTATATAGTTTCTCCTTCCTGGGAGTTCTACATTACTAGAAGGGCGTGCCCGGCTCTGCTAGGTTTCAGATGCTGCCTGTTGTTCCAGGAGGTAATCGTGGTGAGTGACTGACATTCCTGGTGCATCCATTGCCTCAGGGAATCTCAAAGTGCAACTTCAGTCTGGCATTAAAATCTAGAGCCAGAAAAAACAGGGAGATCAAACTTTGACTCCTTAGGATAGAGAGCTTGCTGATCCCAGATTCTGATCGAGGCCAGGGTACCCCACAGTTTGCTAGTCTCTGAATAAGTTGGCTACCTCTACTATCTCCAAGCCACATTCCTCAAGGTCATCTAAGAAGGCGGCTCAAGATGCCTGTCATAAGACTTCCAAAGACCGTGCCCCAGGTTCTCCAGGCAGGGAATCTACCTCAAAGAAGATGAGGTCAATGGTGACTCCAGCCACTTTGGCTCCCATCAGTCTCTGACACTGTATGCATGAGGCTGCTGGTTCCTCAGTACCAAGAGCACTGTTAAAGCTAGAGACTCCAAAATTTCAGGCTCGGATAGATCATTGGTACTGTCAGGGGAGCAAGGCAGCAAAAAAAGCTCTACCCCTCGCTATCGAAAAAGACCACTCCAGCTCCACTCCCCTTGGACCATTCAAGATTCACAGTACCATCAACTCCCTCAGCTACCATTATTTCAGCTCAGGTCATGGATACAGTACTGACAACACACTCAGTACTGTGGGAGTTTCATTTTCCTCAAGGCCTGGCTGTGTCCAAAACACCTGACTCACTGGTCAGCGCCAACTGTTCTTGGTACTGAGGCCCTCCAGATTCCCAGACATGCATCTGGTGCTGAGAATTGTACCTCTCAGTTTCTTCTGCTGCTCCACCACTTCAGAGTGACTTGGGAGAGGAAGATCCTGATAAAGATCTTGCCTTGGGCTCTCAAATATCTGGCCATAGCACTCCAATCCATTCCCATAGAGGCACTTTTCCTTTACTGAGCATCTGCCAGAAGAATACAGTGGGCAATTAGTGCAGAAGGCCAGCTGTTCACCAGAACATCTCTGCAGGCCTCTCTCAAAGCTGCTGATACCGCCGCTCATTTGATTTCTACAGCAATAGGTATGAAGAGGGCCTCCTGGCTTCAGCTCTCAGGATTTCCAAAGGAGATCCAGAATACAATTGAAGACCTTCCTATTGAGGGCACTAAACTGTTCGCTGACACCATAGACAAATCTCTGCACGTGTAAGCAGTCGAGGGCCACTTTACGTTCTCTGGAGATCTACATACACACCCAAAAGAGAAAACTTAGTAGGTCCCAGACATCAGAGAGCCCACCCAATTCTCAAGTTCCCAGAGATCAAATGAACCTCAATTCAATGGACAGAGGTTCCAGAGGGAAAAAAACACCTACTTCCCAACCTCACAACCCTCTGCTTCAAAGCACCACCATGGAGAGGTGGAGGTCCTGAGCTGCCATCCCTTTTCTTTCCAACTGCAGCGTTTCACCTGCCTTCCTCCTTTCAGCAACTCTTTACCACTTCCAGCATGCTTGCAAATCAGTCACTACAGACAAGTGGGTTTTGAAGATCATCTCCACAGGGTACTCCATCCACTTCACTTTTGCCTGCCAGCTCCCCTTCCCTGTCCCTCTTCAGGGACTTCTCTCATGAGCACCTTTTAAAACAGGAAATAGACTCTCTCCTACACTTGGGTGCTATAGAACCAGTTCCTATGCAGCACAGAGGGAAAGGGTTTTATTCCAGATACTTCATGGTTCCAAAAAAAGAATGGCTGTTGGACCCATCCTAGATTTAAGGCTACTCAACACACTTGTGAAAGCACAAAGATTCAAAATGGTCACACCTTGAAGCAATAATTCCATCTCTGGACCAAGGGGATTAGTTCTCAGCCCTCAATCATCAAGACACATTTCCATACTAATCCACCCATCTCACAAAAGGTTCCTATGTTTTACTGTCAGTCGAGACCATTTGCAGTATAAGGTGCTTCCTTTTTGGCCTCTCATCTGCTCCAAGGATCTTTTCAAAGGTCACGTCTTTAGTAGAGGCACACCTCCGCAGAAAAGGAATTCTGGTGTTCCCTCACCTGGACGATTGGCTTCTAAAAGGTTGCTTCCAGGATAAAACTGCAAGGGCAACTTGCAAAGCCATACACCTCTTCCTCACACTGGACCTACAACTGAACATTCAAAAATCCACCTTGATCCCTAACAAAGGTTAGAATTCATAGACTCATAGACTTTAAGGTCAGAAGGGACCAATATGGTGATCTAGTCTGACCTCCCGCATGATGCAGGCCACAAAAGCTGTCCCCCCCACTTTCCCTTAACTCTGCTGTTGAAGTCTCCAGATCGTGATCTAAAGACTTCAAGTCGCAGAGAATCTTCCAGCTTGGGACCCCTGCCCTATGCTGCGGAGGAAAGCGAAAAACCTCCAGGGCCACTGCCAATCTACCCTGGAGGAAAATTCCTTCCCGACCCCAAATATGGCGATCAGCAGAACCCCGAGCATACAGGCAAGATTCTCTAGCCAGACCCTCATTTTACCAGCGATGGCTGTTATTGCCTAATTGATTAAAAGCATGTTATCCCATCAAACCATTCCCTCCATAAACTTATCTAGCCTAATCTTGAAGCCAGAGAGGTCTTTCGCCCCCACCGTTTCCCTCGGAAGGCTGTTCCAAAATTTCACCCCTCTGACGGTTAGAAATTCATAGGAGCTTATCTCAGTTCAATAGCTGTAAGAGCCTATCTCCTGCTGCAAGATTTGCGACCCTTTCCAATGTAGTCAAGCTATCCAAGAGTAGCCCTCAGACACCTGTCAAGAATTGTCTTTGGTGGTTGAGACCTATGGCAGCTGATACTTTCATTATAGACCATGCAAGAGTACAGGTGCTTTGCTTCCAAGGATGGCCCAGGACTGTTTATTCACTGAGCAGACACAGTCTAGCCACACTA